CTCTCTGCTCCATTCTTTAGTAATTCCTTCAATACTTCACCATGACCACTAGCACTAGCATAATGTAAACCAGACCTTGAAAAGGAAGAGAAGAGAGGGAAAAATCATAAAATGTGCATGTGATACGTACAACAGCATTTGTACATGTAGTGCACTACAAAAGTATAAACAAGAATATACACATGTGATAATAGAGTTTTTAACGACCTGGGGGCGAAGCCCCCAGGTCGTTCCTATAATTGAATTCACCCTCGCGCTATGTATATATATATATTTATTTGTATGTCCACACTTACATTTCTTCTATACACGTTGTATTCGAGAAATAACAAGCCTTAGCAACCACCCGCCCACGCTCATTTGCGTGAGTGGGTGTGGTCGCGACAAACAAAATGGCGGCTTACACATGGGACAAAGCTAAGAGCTTTCTAACAGCAAGAGAGCATAGAGATACTGTCTAAAGACTTCTCTAGAAGCATTATAAAGTAGAGAGAACCTCTATAAGTCTTAGTAATGACCAAATTGTACTTGCAAGGTGGTGAAATCAATTATAGGAATATTTTTTACCCTGTTACGCTTGTTATAGTATAATTTGTAGCATGTACATGTACAATAAATGTAGATGTACATGTATATCCACTACATTTTATATGGTGTATTTTATATAGGTACATGTACAGTATAACTATATTTATTACAGTCTTACTGTCCATTGCTATGGTTAAGTCCATTAGCCTCAGCATTATTAGTTAGTAACAGTCTAAGAATATTGAGATGACCATGAGCACTAGAACAATGTAATGGAGTCATGCCAGAGGAAGGATCATGATTATTAACAACCTAAGATAAAGCAAAAAATACAATGATAAAAATAAGTAACGTACATGTACATGTACAACATACAGTACACGTACAGTTTAACAAAAGCTACACGTACATGTACATGTAATACATTAAAAGTGCCATTCAGTGCATGTGAATGTAAACTGCACCCTAAAATTTTGTTTGAAAAGCTCCTTAAAATTTGTAAAAATTGCTAAAGCTGCTATACAGCTATATACACATGTATGTACATGTACTACAAATCACGTCATTCTATTCAAGTTTCTTACATCATTTCCTCTTTCTATTAGTAACTGGGACAGCTCCATTGATCCAACACTAGCTGCTACATGAAGTGGCTCACCAACGAATGATGGACACACTACCAGCTCATCAATATTACTATTAGTATTATTACTAGAGGTTAATATACAGTGTAGAGGATCAGTGAGTCCTAATGCACAAGACCAGTGTATTACTGATAGGGTCTTAGCTGTATCAGGAGGAATAGGATTACATCCCTAAAATAATAAATTAAAATAAAAAATTAAAATATTTTAATATTCTAAAATCATAGATTAAATGACACGGTGAATTTCGCTGCCAACAGGGAGGTAAAGGTTATGCAAACTTTAATTGAGTTACACTACATAAAAAAAAACACGTATAATGTAACATCAATGACGCATATCCTTCAAAATAGCCAGATCACATTAGTAAGGAAATAGATCTTAAATTCCATAATAACAAAATACCATAGTATAGTATTTAACCAAGAATGATAAATATGCAAAGTGCATCTGGATAAAATACTACACCTTTTACACCTTTAGAATATGAGAACATTAACTACACTATACATATACATGTGTACCATACAGTATATAACCTACACCATGTACCAGTTGTAAAGGTCATTGTCATTATTTACACAAGAGCACACACATACCCAATTATGATGTCAGTGTACATGCATAGTGTCAGTTGTAAAAGTACATCTAATGCTACTGGAATGTAAACAAAACAAAATGGATCAAATGGATGGCTGGAATGATCACTGGTGTCTGGTATCAATGACTGTGTGTGGACATGGACACACATCCTTCATTCAATTACAATGAACATGCACACTATAGGCCATTGCTTGATAATGTGCATATAGTACATAAGATTATATACATGAAGACGTACACATCTGTACATGTACAATGTACTAATAACTTGATTATAGCGTAAATGGACACATATACACTTGAAGACTAGAAGGATAATGTATCCAGAGTTTTCCAAAGAGCATGCAAAGTGAGGTGCATGTAAACAGCAATAGCAATAGCATGCTTGATGAGCTGAAAAGTACCACAAAAATACATGTACATTTATAGTGCATGGCTTTTTAATACCACCTCAAACTTTCTAACAACATAAGCAAATATAAACATGTACATGTACATTTGTACATGTACATTTGTACATGTACATGTATGCATCAGAAAAAATTATAAAAATTAAAACTGTCTTCTAAAAAAAGTAAAATACCATGCACTAGTACGGGGTAAATGGGTATAGTTTCTCACATTTTGGAGCAACTTCAAAAATCCACTGACAGCAGTATGCCAAAACCCTGTGGGAAAACCTGAATGCATACATGTACATGTACATGGACTGTACAGTACGTAACATGTACATGTACATTTACGTAGTAATCATAGGTAGTTTACCTTTGATATTAGGAACTGAAGTATTTGTGTGTTACTTCCAATCAGTGAATAATGTAATGGAGTAGCTCCATCTTCATCAGTACAAGACCACTGGCTGATGTCAGGAATATAACGTTTGTACAACATCTCCAGGAATGACAACTAAAAGTACATGTACACATAAATAATACATGTGAAATACACATACATTTACATTTACATGTACGCATACATATACATAAACATGCTTAATAATATAATTTGTATCTTTTGTGTCATCATTCTTGTCTTACATTTCCAGAGGTTGCTGCCCAATGCATGACTGTTCTACTCCCGTTATCTTTATCATAAAGGTTGGCTCCTTTCTTAATTAGTAACTGGAATATAGGAATATTACCCTGAGAGATCAAGAAAGAAAAAGAAAGGAGAAAGTTGAGTCGAAACAGACAACAAAGAAGAGAAAGAAGAGAGAAGTGACAATATAAAATGCACATAAATGTACATGTACACTGTAATCATCTAGATACACATTAATAGTAAATTCCAAATACATACATTATGTACTCTTGATTGTATGCATGTACCTTATGTGCTGCAATCATAAGAGCTGATCTTCCATATTGATCCTTACTATTAACCAATGGTAGACTCAATAATGCCTTGACACACTTGATATTCTACAAAAACAATTAAAAATAATATCTTCCTCCCTTAAACTACATGTACATG